GTGCGTGCACACGTCCTCGTGCGCTCATTTCACAGGTCGGGCGCGCATTTTGTAAGTCACGCATTTTGTTGGTCGTGCATTCAAGAACGGAGGAGGAGGGAGGAGCGAGAGGATGTTTGCAGAACAGAAGTTGGCGGAGAGAAGGGAGGGTGTGAAAATTGGAGTCGGTGACAGAGGCGTAGACGGGAGGAGTACGGAGACGGGCAAAGAGGGGGCACGAGAAAGCCAGAGACGGGGGGGAGGGGGGGGGCAATGTCACTGCCCCGAGTCTCGAATCTTGAAGCGGCGTTCAGGCCTCCACAATTCTCCAATGCATGTCAATCACGGGGCCCACCATAGCCCTTGGTCAACCACAGTCCACAGATCACCGGTCCCAGCACATCCAATGGAAGACCATAGTAGAGACAGAGGGTGTGTCTGTGTGTGTGAGAGACAAAAAGAGTGTGTGAGTGTGTCTGCGAGAGAGGCTCAATAAAAGCATGACAGTGCCAGACTGTTTCGTCGGACTTTCACCGAGTCATAAGGAGATTGAACCCCGACAGTCTGCTCAGGATGCATTTGACTAGTGGATAAGGACTCACCACATCGCCCAGAGTTTGTAATACCCTTGAGAAACGTGTCTGCGAGAGAAAAAGAGTGTGTGTCGAGCTCAGGGCACTCCATGACACGGCGCAGGGTGCTTCACAACATGGTATACGCGCTACAGAGGCAAAGTACAATTGCACGCGACAAGGACGAAAGTTAGCCTAGGCGCTTCACACGGACACTTCACGACAGCCGAGGGCATCCACAACACTGTCGCGGACTGAAACAGCCCATTGAAACAGAAAAAAGCGTGCAGCACTCTACGACGCTAAGATCCGGGGCCTTCAGTCCGGTAGGACCCAATGACATGAATCTCCAGGTCGTTGGGTCCTACTCGACTCATGACCCATATCCTAGATTTGTTATATCGTTCCGCAGATCTAGGTCGTGGGTCATAAGACCGACGACGGTCTGGATTCGAGATTTGTCACGTTAGCAATTTCAACAGTGTAGGGACGAATCCAAATACAATAACTGAAAGTTAACCTATACTTGGAACTGATTTTTTATTTCCACTTGACAATCACGCCAAGAGTTAGTCCTCAAGGCATGACCTTGTCGACTGACACTAAGTCTGGTTCTTTCTAAACTTGTTTTATCTTTATCCTAAGCCATAAAAAACTATCCTCTTATTGTTCCAAAACATGGCGACCATTTAAAACAATTTTCTATCAAAAGAGATAACTTAAAACCAACTCGCAAGTAGAGCACACACAAGCAAGGTAAGGACTCTCACAAAGTCTCCCAAGTTTATTTTACATAGTAATTCATTGGTTCCTCATATTAGTTAACCATTGAACCCCATCTTACAAATGACATTTGATCTATAGATCATTCTGCTTACAAACAAAGTTTAACATACCTTAATTATACACAAGCAGAGGACACAAATACTTCTTTTTTATTTGGGCATATAATTAAACAATTCTACTCAAAAACTATGTCTAGTCAACCACGAATTGTCTAATAACAATTTTAAATAAATCTTTGTCATAATCGTTGATATGGGCGTGAGAGTGAACCATTATTTTCAGAAACAATGTTCAATCTGCCCAGATTACTTCCAACTATACTCGACTTGAATTATTTTCATAATGATATGTCTTAGCTAAGACCATTCTGCATCGAAACAATGTGTAACTGCCTATAGATAGAATAGATAGTTCCAATGTATACTCGATTTGCACTTGGTGTGTGGCTTCAAGCTAATCTATTGTGCTTAGAGACAATGGTTAACTTGTTATCTGAGCTCCCCTCAAAATAAAACAAAATACTGAGTTATTTTGCTGAGAAACAATGCTCAACCTATCATTTAAGCACAAAAAAACACAACGTTAAACCTCAATCAGAAATCCCAAAAGAAAACAATTTGACCAAGTCATTATGCTTAAGAACAATACTTGATCTTGCAAGATCAAACAGCCATGCCCCACAAAAAATGAAACATAGCAAACATATCATTCTTCTTAGAAACAATATCTAGTCCTTCAAAAAAACAATCCAATAAACACATTCCTAGTCATTCTACTTGTAAACAATACCCAGTTTTTTGTTGACCATGTTGAATGCATGCAAAATCAACTTCCTCCCGTATTCCCTCAAATTCATTCATTTTAGTTTGATTTCAAACAACAGAGTAAAGTTTATGAATGCATTCCTTCCACTTAGTTTGATTAGGTTCTGAAAAGAATGAATAATCATAGGGTTGCATGCATATATAGCAAACAAACTAGAGAGATGTAATGATAGGGGTTGGACGCCGGTTCTTCACCTACCCGATTTTGACCGCCCTTTTATCCTTACCACCGATGTGTCAGACTTCGCTGTAGGAGCAGTGCTTTCTCAGGTCTTCCCCTCATCTCCTACTCGTCCAGCTACTGACGAGCCTTCTATTGACTATTCTCCTACCATCGCC